GAAAATGTGAATATTGTGAATTATGAAATGCTAAACGAAAATCAAAGGATGGTCTTTAAACGAATAGAGTCACATTACGATAATATGCTCACAGGCAATCAAGACGAGCCATTAAGAATCATCGTTATAAGAACAGCAGGAACCGGAAAGACCTTCTTGATTAAAGCAATCTGAAAACGACTTCAGGAGATGGTAGAAATAGAGTCAAAATCACCTATATCTGTACTCACACTGACAGGTGTTGTAGCATTCAATATAAGCAGGACAATGATCTATTTGTCTATTTCAATACCAATAATTACCAATAAAAACCTTGATATAAAAGGCAAACGGCTAAAGCTACTTCAGAATAGGCTGCAAGATGTGAGCTATATTATAATCAATGAGAAAAGCATAGTTGGCCGTCGAATGCTTAGTTTAATCGATATGCGACTCTGGCAAGCTTTTCTTAAACACAATAATCAACCCTTTAGAGGCAAATCAATTATTTTGTTTGGCGATTTTGACCAGCTTCTGCCTATGCTTGATCTTTCCATATACGTCAAGATTTCGAAAGATACATTATCTAACAATGGTCTTGCAGTATACAACCTATTCAAAGAGGTATACAAGCTTGATGTTGTTCAGCACCAATCTGGAGATTCTCAAGAATAACAGGAATTTAGAGAAATCCTTCTAAGATTGCGTAATAGAGAGTCTACTTTAGCTGACTGGAGGACTTTTATCACAAGATTCGAAGGAAATCTAAGTAGAATAGAACGCGATAGATTCTCTGATGCTACATATATCCTAACGAGATGAATTAACGTCAATAAAATTAATATAGACCAACTTAGGTTCTCAATGTCCCTATTGCTAAGATCTTTGCTATGCATACAGGCGGTAACGAAGCCAAAACAGCTGACGCTGATGTTGCATATGGTCTTAAACTACAATTGTTACTGGTAAGAGGAGCGCGGATTATGCTGACTACAAATCTGTGAACTGAAGCTGGTTTGGTTAATGGTGCAATAGGAACAGTCCAAGATATCCTGTTCAGTGAAGATCAAGGACCGCCATTTCTTTCTATAGCAGTTCTCATTTCTTTTGAGAACTATAAAAGTCCCACCATTACCAGCCTAGAGGGCACAAAAGTTATCCCAAACGCACTCATTCGACATATCTGGGAGGTAAATCTGAAACATTATGCTCACGTCTACAAGTTCCCGTTCGTCTTTTGTGGGCCATTACAGTACACAAAAGCCAGGGCCTTATATTACAGAAGGCTGTAATAGATCTTGGTGAAAAAGAATTTACGGCTAGTCTCTCGTTTGTGGTGATATCTTGGGTTCGCGCACTTGAAGATATCCTTTTCAAAACCTTCAATTTTGAGAGACTCCAGCGCATCAAAGACTGCAGAAGGTTAAAAGATAGAAAAGACGAAGAAGAGCGCTTGATCTCTATGATACCTAATAATTGAATATAAACTTTCAAATAAAATAACAATAAAGAAAAAAAACATTTTTTTTTTAATAAAACTCAGTTTTTATTTATCATTATCATATTAAATAAAGCTCTCAATTTTTACAAATAGAACTATCCTAATTTACTAATCTAACACTACTAATCTAACACTACTAAAATGAAGCAAAAAGAAGTGAAAAGGACAAAAAAAAGTGGCTTATTACTATTGTCCTACGCGAGATTATGATTGTTTTTGATTATTGATTTATCAAATATCCAATATGAATTGATGCAGCGTGACTTCTGGAAAATTCACGTGACAGATCAAATTTCACTCTAACTCCTAAAAGTGTAATGTCCTACGCTTCGCTCCAGACAATTACTCATTCAAAGTATCATTGATAAACTGGCTTTCATCAACACGTGCTAAAATGTATGCCCTTTTCACTGCTCTGTTAGTATCGCCACCCTCTTCTTCCATCAGTATTTTTTCAGATAGTCAAGCTACAATTCACGGCTTCTCCAAATATGTTTCAAACAACAATCTTTCTACCAGAAAATTTGAAAAGATATCTAACCATTCTATTTGGCATCTTATTAAACATATAGTAGTTACACTGAATCTTAATATACACTTTCATAAAGTTAAAGTGCATACTGGTGATCACTTTAATGATATTACTAACCAATTGGCCAAAGTTGGATGTAACGCTCATCCCTCATTCCTGTATTAAACAACATTCCTTTATCTGACCTTGTCTTTACCTTTAATAACGTACCAGTTGAAATATCTATTCAGGGTTTCTTCAAACAACTTTTTTCTGCCAAGATTTTTTGCAACTTTCTTGACCTGAATAGAAATGGTCACATCAGACGTCTCACTAGAAATCACTTTATCAACTGGCCTGCCATTTAGTCTTTATTCTCCTTAAACTCGTCTTCACTCGCTACCTCATTTACCTCTTGCAAACTCAAGACTTTCATCATAAAAAATTTTGTTAATGAACTACCAACTCTATCAAGATTATCTATTCTACGATCAGATTTATATGAACATTGATGTTGTATAGGCTGTGGTTAGGATACAGAAACTTCTGCACATCTCTGGATCTACTCCGCCTATATCACAAGACTATAAGACGTTATTCAAACTACCAAAGATAATTTAATCTATTGCCTCACAAAATTGAATATTTCTAAACTCACTGAGTTTCTTTCAGAATTATTAGACATCCTAAAAAACATCCTTGCTACCCTCTCATCTAGAACAGATAGTTATATCAACATTATTCATTCTCTCATTCCTTTTTCCTTAATAGACATAATTCACAAAATCACCAGGAACAAGGGTCAATGTTTCTCTACCATCACTCAAACCTTGATAGTTTTTCATCAAAAATTATTTGAGAATGTTTGGAAACGCCGTTGTAATCTAATGATAGCAAAAGAACGTTCATTAGATATCACAATCAAAGATAAGACTAAACAAGGTGTCAGTTCATTCTTAAGACATGAAGAGACATCAAATCTTACATACAATTGGGAATTCTGAATACACATGGTGAATAAATTCAGCTACAATTTTACAGATTTTTATATAGGCACTGACCCTTTCTTTTTCTTCTCTTGTTAATAGCAATTTTTATTAGGTATAAACTTAGTGGACTTGTTGGAGGGGAAGATAATGATCAGTCGATTCAAACGGATTTGTAATATAACTACAGGGGATAACTAGTGCTTAGTCTAGATTTATTTGATTTACTTTTGTACTTCTTTTATATAAATTTAATAAAGTTACTGGCAGTGCCACATCGTTAAAAAAAAATAAAATAAAATTAGTACAAGCCCCACTAGCATAACAGAATTTCTTATAGTTATACAAACTATTTATATTGCGTATACAATAGCTTATATATGTAAATCACGATATATCATATTAAGCTACAATAAAGACTCGACTGTTTGACGCGAAATTTCACAGAGACATATTTCCGTTGCTATTTTGCCATTATATACATTATGATCTTTATGATCTCTTAATTTACAAAAGTTTATTTAGAAGAGACTTTAGTTAACCATATTATATATAAATTTTTATAGTCTCCTAAAAATAAACAGGTATTATTCGCAATATATAATTAATCGTTAATTTTATAATTTTATCAAGTTCGAAGTTTATTTGGTTCAATTTAAAGGAAATTGTAATATTAATAAACGTTATATTAACATAAATTTATTATTATTTTACTATTAGCGTCTATTACCAGTGATTTATATTATCAATTGCTGCTGCTAGTGCGGCAGATATATCAGATTGTTCATTTACCGGCTCTCCCGAAGATTCTTCCTCTTCCTCTTCATTATTTTCGTCATCTAAATCATCTTGTGTAAGTATATCTTTTCCTTTTTCAATCCTTTTTAAAAATGAATTTACATTTTCAAAAACACCATTTTTATAAAAATTTTCACAATAAATACATCTTCTACTGTAGCAAGTTGAATGATAACCATGGCTATAAGTTAGCGGCACTACATCATCATTATTCAATCAGAATCCGTAATAATCATATAATCCTAATTATAGAGGACGTGATGTACTGTATACTGTTGAAAGATAACGCAAGTCTGCTTCTTTTCCCAAAGTAGCTAATTTATATCCTTTTAATTTTTTCTTTTTTTCACAGTATATAATGGAATACTATTGTTTTAGTTTTGAAATATACCACAAAAGTATTTTAACAGCAAAAAACTGGTTTTGTTGAACAAAAAATCAAGTATAGACAAATTGTATAGATAATGACGGGTTTTACAATATGTATCTTTAAAAATAGGATTATGGTCCGCTATTTATATCAATATTAAAAAAATAAGTACAAAATAATTTATTATCTTTAATAAAATACAAGTTAAGTATACATATACCAATAACATATGCCTGTTTTATGATACTTTTAACTGTTGCATTTGAAGAGGTATTTGCTCTTATTTTACTATGAGTGTTTTTAACATAATAGTTATTAAAACATGATAAGTAATTTTTAATTGCATCAGCAAATAGGTGATGGTTGTCCTGCTAATAGAATATATCTGACAAAAATACAAGGAGTACTTTATTATAATTTTTTATGTTTCTAACGTAATGCAAACGTCTAAATACAAAATACAGTTTCTATATATTCTTCAAATGATCCAAATCGAAATAAAATTGCATAAACATCAAGTATTACTGGTATTAAATTATCTAGCAAATCAATTGTTGCTTGATATTCAACATCCTTACATGCTAAACCAAATTTTTGCATAATTTCATTTTTAATTTTGATCCAACCATTTCGCATAAGCTCTAAAAGAAGGTTTATTCGCCAAGGTTTAGGTTTCTTAGCTAGTTTTTTACGCTCACCAAATACAAAATGAAACATTTGTTCAAAAAAAGAGTAATAAATAATGATAATATGTTCTCTGCTGTTAAATGAAAGATGAAGTAATCCTAGCATTAGTATAAATAATTCAATTTCTTTTGGAATAGTAGATTGTCTTGATATATGCAAATGTGTCAATACTTTTCTAATAAATAATTGCCTAAGCCAATTAGCAACAATTGGAGTAACTTGTTTTTTCAAATGTTTTGTTTTCTCACTTACATTTAAAATAATTTGCAATGCATTTAAATAATCTTGTATTGAATGTAAATGTTGCTCTTTAAAACCAATTAATTGAAGTCCATTCATTGATTTTTCATCCTTTTTCTCTGCAATAGAATTATTATAACTATGAATAGTTAAAAGTTCAATACAATCAAATGTATTAATGTTTTGATGTCTTTGTGAGATCCAAAATGACTAACGCTCTGTATATGTAATATCAAAGATCCCAGTATATTTGTTAAGCAAATACTAACAAATCCTTGATGCTTCAACATTATTTGGATTGTGAATGGATATCCCATTGAATACTATTGGTATTGCAAGGCATCCTATAATAGGTTTTGCTATACAAGTAGCAAAATACTTTGCTATTGATGTTGATGTTGTATCTGGCCTTCGCTTTTCATAAATATTATGATAATCATCTATGTTGTAAATATGTAAGCGGTCTCCCTAATAAAAAAATAACTTCTCAATTTTACAAATTATAATATTATAATACATATGATAAAAAAAACTACTTTTTCTAAAAAATGGTTATCAATTTTAATTATATGATTTGCTTGAATTTTTTTTTGAAAGTCCATAACTGTCTTGGCGTATGCTGAATATCCAAGATTTGATAATGTATCAATTACTTCCCAAGTAGCACCTGATGCTGCTAAATATAACCCAACCTCTATTTTAAATTGGTTAACAAATTTGTTACGCAAGTCAGAAATCATATAACACAAAGCAATAATTGATTTTTTTGCTTCTTGTTTGTTATATGCTGATCGATTCTTAGGAATAATTGCGTTTATTATTGAAGAAAAGAATCCTATTAGTTTGAGATTGGCTTCTTCAATCATATGTTGAAATCGTATTAGATCTAATTCCAAATTAGCAGACTCCTGACATTGCTTATTATATAATACATACATTAATAATTTTACATTTGATGCAAATGTAGAATTATTTATTAAAATTAAATAGAAAAGATTAATAAAATTAGATATTAATAAGAAGTTTTTATAGTTAATATTAATTATATTACCTTCAATACTATTTTCTTCAACTGAGTGAAACTCTTCATGTGCAATTCTTTTTTTACAGCCTTTTTGGTCCTTTAACTCTTTCTTCTGTTTATACTGTATGTTTTCACGATTAGGCTCCACTACTTTGCAATAATGTATATGACAAAGCTGTTTTCCTACTTCAAGGTAAAGATATGTTTCTAACATATTTTCCTTATGACATTTTTGGTATGCAAGTTCTGTAATTAAGCGAAAATTACCATCTTTATATGTGCAATTTACTATTGAATACGGTCCAAAATTTTTTTTTTCATATTTCTAAATATTTCTAAAACTGTTAAATGTTAAAACACGTGAGTTTGGATAGCAGTTCAAATTTCGTGTACAATTTTTGACCAATCACAGTTGTGTTGATCACGTGTTGATCACTTTTAATTAGAGCCAATCAGGGAGAAACTCTGTCATGCTATTATGATCTAAATCAATAAAAAAAAACAATTTATTTTACAAAATTTTTTTAATTTTAAAAAATGGCATCTTACGAAGAAATTAAAACTGAATTAAACAAAGCAGAAGCAAGATTTGGTAAGGCAGTAGAGAATTTGAAGGAGTGGGAAGAAGGGAGTATAAAGGGAAGAAGTTAGGTGAATTAGAAAATAAGTTAGAGAGAAGAAGTTGGCAAAATGAAGAAGAAAAGACAATGTGAAAAGACAAGGTAAAGGAGTTGAAAGAGGAGAAGAAGTCATTGGTGGAGAGCAAAGTTCAGATGGAGAAACAGGTAGAGGAGTGGAGACAAAGTTTAGGAAAGTCAGTGATAGGGAAGGTAATGAACAAATTGCGTAAAAATAAAATTTATTTTTCGTTCATTACATTTCGTTTATTTATTTTTATTATTTACAATTTTAAATTTCTCATACTATAAATATCCTCTTTATTTCCACTTAGGACATAAATGTAAATTTGAAGGTGAAGAAGGTAGGTGATGTTATTAATGACAATATCCTTGGTTGGTTTTTCACGAATAGTTGATTTTTGACATTTTAATCCATTTTTTACAAAGAAATTTTATCAAAAAAGGCATGTCAACTAGAAGGTATTATTGTATTTTGTATATATATATATTTTTTTTATTATTATTGGTTTGGACATTAATTGAGAAGTGAAAATTGCATGCTAATCTTACCTAATCTATTTTTTCTACAGAAAAAAAATGGAGTTGTATACCAAAGTCACAGAAGGCTTATTTATGTATATTTATTTAATTTGTTAATGTTCTTTAATATCTTAATTTAAAACTAATTCTTTAGTTATTATTACAGATAGAAATATTACTATTTTTATAGGAAATATACCATCTCTTAATGTTGGTGATTTTAGGAAACTGGTATCAGGAGGATATACTTTTATTGACAAATCTCACTTTATTGAAGAATTTATTGTAAAAAGTTCAGATTATGTTATTCTTTTACGACTAAGAAGATTTGAAAAGTCAATTAATCTCTCAATGTTGAAAGAATTTTTTGATATTCCTATCCACCCTGATAATTTGAAATTTAGACAAGAGCTATTCAAAGGATTAAATATTACAAAGAGAACATTTCTGTAAACATCCAGTCATTTATTTTAGTTTTCAGATATATGGAAGCATACATAATAAGTTTGTCTTAAATTTTTTTTTGCTGATTTACCCTTTTTAATAATTATTCTAGGGATTTGATGACTGTCGTACTCTTGAGGATATGAAGAATAAGTTATATAAAAGTTTTGCAGAATTATATGAAAAATATATTTATTTTTATAATGATCTTGTTATTAAAACAAGATTTTAGAAAGCATTGACTGGTGATAAATCTTTGCAATTATCTGAATATCTTGTAATTCTTTCTTGATATCTGGCAGAATATCATAAAAGCAAGTATATTATTCTGATTGATGAGTATGATCATCCTTTTGAAATTGCATTCCATGAGAACTACTTTGATGATGCTAGGAAGTTGCTTACTTCTATTCTTTCACCCCTTCTTAAGGTAACTATTTCTAAAATTCATTTTTAATTAATATATAACTGGAATAAACATAAAAAATAACAGATCTTTGATATAGGGTAATGATGCCAATCTGTATAAGGCTTTGATTGTAGAAGTATCATATGTGGCTAAAGCAGGTTTATTTTTTGGGTTAAATAACTTAACTATATGTCCGATGTATGATGAATTATATGTAGATAAATTTGGATTCACTGAAGATGAAATTTCTGCCATTATCAACCATTATAATGTTTCAAATATCTCTTTAGAGACATCTGAATTAGACAATGTCAAGAATTACTATAATAGTTATATATGTGAAATAAAGACTAAAATTTATAATCCTATGTCTATAATATCTTATATGTTCAACAAAAAACTAAAACCATACTGGGTTATTATAGGTAAACTATAAATTTTCACTACTACATTCCTTTTTTTTCTTTTTGTCAATATTGTTACTAATTCAGACTTTATGATGTATTAGGGGGCTTAAGCAAATCTATTAAAATGCTAATTTTGCATTCAAACCAATTCATATCCCTTGCAAGTGGATTTATGTCTGATGAAAAAATTGATGCTCCCACTACTACAAGATTCCAATCATTAGATTATGAAATATTAAGAAGTTGTAGGACAACTGATGAGTTACTTATTTTGTTATATTTTGGTGAATATCTCATAAAGGATACCATTGACAATAAATTATTTATATCAAATAAAGAAACTCATGAAGTGTGGAAATACTGGTTGAACATAGCTCCAAATGAGAGGTACAATCCAATATTTAAATCATTGTCAGAATACAATTTTGAAAAATTTGTATTTGATCTCAAAAGGATATTTGATTCAACTTCTGTTTCATATATGAATATTACAACAGAAAAATATTATTATTGCCTTATGATTGGTTAACTTGATTTAATAAGATCAAAAGGATATAAATTAGAATCAAACTTGGAAGCAGGTCTTGGATGTCTTGATATTGTAATACAGCTAACATCAGAAAATAGTACAAGAACATTTATCTTTGAATTTAAATCAATCAAAAGAGTAAAAAAGAACAAACAAACTGTTTTAGAAAAGGAGACTAAGGCAGGAATTGAACAGATAAATAGAAAGCAATATGTAAAAAGTATTACTAGAAATGAATTAATCACTAAGATTGCCAAATGTGCAATCTGTTTCTGTAGTAAGGATTTGTTCTTCTTGTTGAAATCATTAAAAAGAACTCAGAGAATGAATGGGAATTGAAAGAAGGTTATCTAAAATTCATAGAAAGTCTTGATTTTCATCCAGAAGATGAAATAATGAAAGAATAAACATGATACATGCTGTTGGCTAGTTGTGAATGCTTTTTTAATATATATGTATATACATAATAGTTTCCTTGTATGCTTTGATAATATATAATGGCATGCTAATGTTAATATCAAATATAGATATCAACAATAGTTATACTACACATTAATACTAATCTTATAGTCTTTTAATAATTAATATAAGATAGAAATAAAGTAAAATATGTTAGAATAAAATTATGCATTTTTACCATTTTATCATAATTTGCATTAATGGATTTTTAATTAGTTTATATTAAAACTGTCCTTTCTAGAACTTTTAACTCTGCCAATTTTTATAACTAATTTTTCTTAATAAATAAATACATTAAGAAAAACCTATAAAGTGAACATAAAATTATATATATAGGGATAAGTGTATATGAAAAGTAATAATAAGTATAATGGTTCTAATGAATATCAAAAAGTAATTGATTTTTTGAAAAAGGGTGTGATTGTGGTTGCTCTTTAAAAATTCTCAAGAAACAATTTGTAGAATTAAGGAAATCCTTTCAAGCTCTTTCTAAACCAGAACAAGACATATTTTTAATGGCCCAACTCAAAGCAATGGATGGTGGATCAATAAGCACTAGTAGACGCCTTAAAAAGAAAATCAGATCTAATAAAAGAACTTTCTACCATTGGGATCACAATATACTCCTTTGTCAAGAAACTTATCTCAATATGTTGGGAATTGGTAGGACTTATTTTGAAAATATCAGAAATCATCTGATAAACAATAGTCTTTTACTAAGAATTTATGGTAATATTAAAAGAATGCCTCAATGGAAAACTAAGATGATGATTGATAAAAATATTACTGAAGTAGTAAAGAATTTTCTAGAAAATTATGCAGAAGTTCATGGATTACCAAGTCCAGGAAGAAGTATCAATAGAATAACTCAATCAATTGTATTTTTACCAGCTGAGATGAGTTATAAATCAGTCCATAGAGATTTTTTGGCTGGTTTAGAAGAAGATAACAAATTAAAATCTTTGAAGTATGATACTTTTAAGAAGTTATGACATCAATTGACACCAAAAATTCAAATTATGAGTCCCAGAACTGATTTGTGTGATACTTGTCAACATTTTAGAGATGGTTTACATTATAATGCTCGCCAAGAGGAAAATGCCAAAGATTTACTTAAAAGATTTAAAGAACATCTATTCAAGGCCAAATTAGAAAGAAATTATTATAATAAAAACACTAAATTAGCTGAAGAACAAAGAAAATTAGTTAATCAAAATTATTCTAAGAGTAAAACACAATATTGTATACTGCTCATTATAGTTATGATTGAGCCTAAAATGTTCATGTGTCACATTCAGATCAACAAGTAAGTAAAATCTATTACCTTAGTTCATGTAAAGTCTATTTATTTAGTATTCAATATGAAGCAGTAAAGGAACAAATTAATTATGTTTTTAATGAAGATGAAATTATAGGAAAAGGACCCAATGGCACACTTAGTTTGATCTTTGATGGAATTAAAAAATTAAATAAAGGTGAAAAGCATTTAAAGATTACTTGTGATAATGTTGGGGGACAGAATAAAAATAATACTACTATTTGGTTTTACCTGTATTTAGTAATTTGTGGTTATTATGAAAGTATTGAATTGAATTTTATGATTTCTGAATATACTAAATTCAAATGTGATGGTAATTTTGGGATGATTAAAAAACTCTACAGAAGAACAAGGGTAGATTGTTTAGATCATGTGGTTTCAGTGGTAAAAAAGTCTAGTCTGGCAGGATTGAATAAAGCTCAATATTATGAAGATGAAAAAGGTTTTCAATACTTGGATATTAAAGCAATTTTGGGGATTTATTTTAAGAAATTACCAAGCATCTAGAAATATCAACATTTTTTTTTTGAAGCATCTAATCTTGGTATAGTCAAAGCTCAGGAAATTGCTAATAGACCTTTTACTGAATTCAATTTATTGAAAACCAAAGAAGCAAATATTTTTGAAGAAATCAGAGCTTTATCTATTTTATTGTTAATCCTATCTCCTTTGGACTACAAAAGGCAAGAATACCTTTATAACAATATTCACCCATTTGTGAAAGATGAATACAAAGATACTACTTATTTAAGACCATCCTATGCTGGCAACAAATAAAATATTTGAAATAAAATCACTTCTATGACTTTGTCACCCATTAATCTTTTTCCACTTTTAAAGTAAAAAAGTACTAAAATAATTTATATACTTAATATACCCTCATAAAAATACATAAGTATATTAAAAGAGCAAATAAATAAAAAAAGAAAACTATGGTAAACACAATAAATGAATTCCAAGAGAGAAATAAACAACTATTAGAAGAAAATGAAAATTTAAAGAAGCAATTAGCAGATAAAGAAGAAAATCTTAAACTAAAAATCTGACATATTACTGGTCAGTCTATTGATGAAAAGTGTGAAGTTAGTATGTATGCTCCTATAAGAACAAGATGATATAAGAAACTAAACAAAAAATAAATGGATGAAGGCAAATTAAGAATGGCAGTAGATTTTAATAAAACTAGAGAATGAGCTAAGAATTGTAAAAGAATTTGATTTGATAACATTACAATTGAAGAAATATTAGAAGGTTTTATTGATAATTCTAATGAATTAAGTTCACAATAGTTAAATTATGTTGGAAAATGAAGTAGAATTAATGAAAAATTTTATGAACAAAAGAGAGATTATGAAGGAAAGATTGAGGAATTAGAAGCAAAAAAGGAGTAATTGGAAGCAAGAGTAGAAGAGTTAGATGATGAAGTATGAATGGAGCGAGAAGAGGCTGAAAAAAGCACTAAATAAAGCCATGGAATGAAGAAAATGACAAATGTTTGAAACTGTGTTGAAGTATGATGCTGCAATAGGCAAACTTCAAGACTGAATAGATTTATTAGAAAATAATTTAGCTGCTAAAAATCAGGAATCAGACTAAAAAGATTATTTAACAACCAAAGAATTACCATCTTTACCAAAGAAACAAAAAGAAAATAGATTATGCAAACTCAAAAAATTAGTAAATAAAATAAAAGAAAAGACTAAAGAGAAGTTCTAGACTTTTATTGTTTAAAAGAACAAGTAAGCCAATATGAGATTAGAATATAGAATTCTGGAAATAGCCTAGGGAGATGAACAAGAGTGTAACTTTTGTTTTCTAGATTTTAATGATCCAACTCTCCTTAATTTTGATACTGCTCCTGCTACTCATCAAATGGTGGCTCGTAATACTCCTGATGGTTATTTTGACATTGTCTTTATCTGTGATGAATGTAAAAACAATTATGATAATAATACTTTTCTATGATGTGAGAAATGTAGTAGGTTAAAAAGGAATAGAAACAGATGTTTATGTAGTCATTTAAAAGTTAAATCAACTAAACTACTTTCTGACAAAGAACTACTTTCACAAACTTTTAGTTTTCGCCTAGAAAATAAAACTAGAGAACTAGAAAAAGAGTTATCAATTACTAAAGAAGAATTAAAAATTGAAAGAGAAGAAGTAACCAAGTTTCAGGAAAAATCTGAAGAGTGAAGTAAAAAACAGAAATAGGAGTTATTAGATAAGGTAAAGAGTTTAGAAGAAAAAATTAAACAACTAGAAGAAGAAAACAGGAAATTAAAAGATCAACAAAAGGGTCAACTAACTGTACAAATTGAAGTTAAAGAAATTAAAAAATGACCTTAATTGAAAATAAGAAAGTAATTTAAAGTTATTTTTCTCTGTATAAATTGAAATTATCAAAGAAAATGGTATTTATTTTCCTTTTAAAGATTTTTGCTTTTTGTTAGGTAATAGCACACTTTCATTTTGTTTTCTTTTTCTAATATTTATTATTTTTCTTTCTTCTTGGTAAATTTCATAGGTAATCCTTTCTTTTCTTAGATAAGCTTCCAATGTTTGAGTGTCATTTATTTTGAAAACATAAGGAGCAATTTTCTCACCTTATTCTTTTTTTAAAATACTTCTAATAGTACTATAATTCTTGGGTTCTATGGTAGATCTAATGTAAATTAACTTCATATTAACTATTTTTATATAGGGGCAATTCTATATATCACTTCAGAAAAATAAAGATAACAAATGGGATATTATAAAACTGTTAATTATGATCACATTACAAATGATTAAATTTTGATCCCTGAAATTCTTGATAATACCAATGTTCACTTTGTCTGATTTTGTTGCAGTATGGCTTATATAGTGATAATTAGATTATATTATTTAGATTATATAGTGATAATTAGATTATATAGTGATACTCAAATTATATGATGATAATTAGATTATATAGTTATATTCAGATTATATGATGGTAATTAAATTATATAGTAATAATTAGATTATATAGTGATATTCAGATTATATGATGATAATTAGATTATATAGTGGCATTCAGATTATATAGTAGTAATATAATCTAGTGCAAATAGGATACTACTATATAATATAATTATATTATATGATGGTATCACATTAGTATTTATTTATATAAATTTAAAATAATACTTAAAATCAGATAGTATTAAAATAATAATTTAAATTAATATATTTTAACTTTTAATTTATATATAAATTATAAGAACCATAATAGGTTTTAATATAAATATTTAAAGTTTTTAAAATATTTTTATAAAAATATTTAATTTTAAATAAAATCTATTTTTAATTATAAAATGATAAACTTATATAATAAGTCTAAAATTTAATTTTATTAAAATTAAAGAATTTTAATAATTTTTATTTTAAATTTATAATTTTTTTTATTATTTAATTTTTAATTATAATTCAATTATTAAAAAATAATGATAAAAAAAAGATTATAATAAAATGCAAGTTGATAGATAATAAATTTTAAAAAGATTAATTATTTAATATAAAGTTAAGTTTTTTTAATACAAATAAAAATTATAACTTAAATGTTTTTGAAAAAATAAAATATTTAAAAATAAAAAAATAAAATAAAGTTTATTATATTTGTTATATTAAAATACATTTAATAATAATATTTTTAAATTTTTAAAATTAATAATTATTAAAATATTTCAATTTTTCAATTTTTAAAAATAATATATTATGTAATAATTATTTAAAAATAAATTCAGTTTATTGGATTCATCTCATTAAGACCTATTAAATGATAATATTTTTAAATTTTTGAGATTAATAGATAGCAAAATATATAAATTTAAAATTTTAATTTTTTTTAATAATACTTTATCATTTATTTATCTTTAAAAAATTACTAGTTAATTACAATTTTTTTTTAATTTTTACTTAGAAAACATCATAAAATTTATTATAAAAAGTATTAAACTTTTTAATAACATATTTTAAAAATATTTTAAAATAATTAAAAATGATTTTAATTTATAAATAACATTGGCTACAAATTTGTAGACAAAATAATTTAAAGGAATAAGTTTGAAAAATTTACTAATTAACTTGCAAAATTAATTTTGATTAAATTTAAATTTTTCATTTTTAATTTTTTGATATTTTTCTTTTTAATCATTCATTTCATTTTATCTTATTTTTTTTAAATAATGATAAATATATCATTTAAATAATTTCCTTCTTTATCTAATTGATTTTATCTGATCTTATAATAGAATATTTTTAATTAAAATAATTTAAAAATATAAATTTACTTTAAAGTATAAATGATAGAATTAACTATTATAACCAAAAAAGTATTTATTCAAAATTATAATTATGCAATTTATTATTTTTTTAATTAAAATATATGTAATATTTATTAAAAACACACAATGCAAGAATTATTAATTTGTATAAAAATATATATATATATATATATATATTAATAGATCTTCATAATAAGCTTAAATTATTATTTTTATTACATTATTACATTATTACATTACATTATTATAAATAATAAATAAAAAAAAAAAAAAAGGAAAACTTATGTAAAACACAACATAATTTAATTATATCATATGATGCATTTTTTTTTTTTTTTTTTAATTAGTTTTAATTCGATCGCAACTTGTTGATGGACTTACTGTATCTATTTTAGTTTTCTATTAATTCGATATTTTTGGGGAAAGATCTATCATAACAATCATTACTCACCAAAAAAAAATTTTCGGAATTTCTTTTTCTCTTATTAGTTATAAAGGTCGGATGCTTTTAACAAAAAAAGCCAATCATGACCAAAATCAGTTATTAAAAAAAACTAAGCCAACCGATTTCTTGTTTTATAATCATCTTTCTCCGGCAAAAAATTACATCTTTTTTTTTTTCCATCATAGTAATATTAAAATTTTCGATTGTAGACTCAAAAACAACTTGAGGACCAAAATCAAAAATGAACCATTGTCCAAAAAAGATGTTAGGTTACAGAAACCGATCTTGTGTTGGGCTTTTGAGATTTAAATTAAAAAAAAAAAAAAAAAAATCGTTCAAGTTATTAAATCATTGTAACAGCGTACAAAAGAAAAACATGGTTAATTTTGTTCTTTTTGAATGAAAGGGCTCAACAGGGTTTTAAGCTGGTGTTTAAGAGGATGTTCCTTTGGATGACCAGATGTACGGTGGTAAAAAAGAAATTAATTAAAAAAGCGTGGTAGAGATTACACACCAACAAAAATTCAACATATTCTTACAACAGCAATTCACACAGATGATCAATTATTTTTTGGAAAATTCAATTTATTTTAATCGATCATTTTTTTTTCCGGTGAAAAAAAAAATAAAATAAAGATTGTACTCTCCCTCGTTTTTTTCATTATTTTTTTCTCATTTTTTTTTTTCGTCTTAAAATGCACGAGCACATAAACCCAAAAATGATCAAGAGTATTTTTTTGAGTACACATGATAAACAATAGACCAAAATCAGAGAATGCCGTAATTATGGGAATTTAGATTCCGCAAAATGATAAAAGTTTTGATTAGGTTTAGGAGGAGTTCTAAATCAGGCAGGGAAAACCTGAAAAAGACGGGTTTTGCATGATCATCAGTTGTTACGCGCGTATCGAGGAAATCGTTTTAAATTGATAATCTTTTGTAGTATAATAAGGTAAAGTAAAATGAAGATTACATTATCAAATTATGTACGCAGTGCGCCCACACGGCGCTGCACAAGGTAGTCGTCTAAAAGTCATGAACAAGAACTTAACTATAAATGTAACATACATACCGCATGGCTGACCGATGATTTCCTAATGCAGGTTCCTATCAAATAATCTAAAAGCATTATCATGCAAAAGGTATCTGTTAATCTTGATTCTCGGAGACACTACCTTGCATAACAAAACTATTCTGCCCGTTTATCTATTGCTACATTGAAACATTTCTTCTACAGCCCAAAAAGTGGGCTGTGTGTCAGAATTTCCTCCATCTTTTTGTATGTGTTATGAATTGTTTTCTTAAAAAATGATTATTCCCTTTTTTTTTTTTTTTTTTGAAACTGGAAATGTTTCAAATAAATTTTTTTTTTTTTTTTCGGATTTGGAATGAATGCGAGCAAAATTCTCGAAAAAAAAAAAAAAAAAAAAAAGGAAAAAAGATAAAGAATTCTGGGGGGTTAGATTGATATGGGAAGCACTGATTTGACTGATGTGGGTTAGCGGCATAATTTTTTTTTTTATGAAAAAAAAAAAAAAAAAAAAAAAATTCCAGGATAAACTAATTATTTTTTATTAAAAAATGAATGAAAAAAAAAAAATACTATTTTAAACTCAAACGGTATTGTGCGAATATTTTTTTAAAAAAAGAAGATTGGCAAATACTTTTTTAAAAAAAATGAGCACACGACCCAACCTGCGTCCTACCTTATTTGGAATATAGGAATGAGAAACAAAAACATAAGGGCATTCTCTTTATATTGTGCTTCCCTACAAGGGCCTCCATTTACGATACCGATTGCTTAACCGTTAGAGATGATTCATCACCGTTTTTGGGGTTCGGTTTTGTGCTCGCATCGATTATTTTGTTATTCATCCGTATCACGGTAGAAATTAAATGAACGTGCTACAGCCTTGGTGATACCTTCCATATTCTCAATGAATAAAATTTCAATTGATGATTATTTAATTATTATTTATATTAAAATTTTTATTTTAATTTTTTTGATTTCAACATATTTTTATTTTAAAAATAAATATGCAATAATAATCATGGTGTCTATCACAAAAAATTTATGTCGTACTGGCTTTAAATTTTCTACCGTTTTTAATTAAATCAAAAGAAAGTATTTATTTTACATCAGTTCATTTTTATAATAGAGTAGATTTTTTTTTTTTGATATTCTTTGTGCACCAATACAAATCCTGTTTGGAACTTGATTAAAGAATTAGGGGATTCATGCGTTGACCAATCATTCATATCAACCTTTTAAGCTCCCCCCAAAATTTTCATTAAAATGCCGGCCTGTCAAATCATTGGTTACTCTAATTTTCCTTTACAATAACAAATATATAGTGTGAGATTACGCTCGGGACTTTTTTTTTCGTCAAAAACCTCTCCAGAGTTCTTGAGCAAAAAAGGTCAACTTGTGCGCCTACAAAAGGTGAGTAACATTGGACCACTTTTTTTTTTTTTCTGCTCTCCAAGGGATCCAGGTACAAACTATCCTACTTTTCCTAATAGCTTGTTAAGTGTCGTGGAGTAAGTAACTGAAAAAGAAAACAAAGATATATCCGACAAAAAAAACCCTCCCACATTTTCTTCTTCTTCATTCTCGAAAGGTTGGATTAATGCTACCTTACTTAATTTCTTTTATCCCATTAATTCATAATTTTCCCTTAATTTATTTCATTTTGATTAATTTTTTCCCCTTTATCCTTCATAATTAATTCGAATTTCTTAACCAGAATTTATCTTTTTTTTTTATTTGCTAAAATTTTTTGACTGACCTCGAGATTTATTCTTTATTCTTCGCCTTTTTTTTTCCCCCTCATCCTGACACGTTTCTTCGGCTTGCTTTCTTTCGACCCTTATTATTATTATTATTATCACTTTTTAATAACAAAAAAAATCACCCACGTACACCATTTTTTTTTTTTTTAAAAAAAAAAAATAAAAAAAAAAAGCTCTGGGGAAACTTTGGGTTCATCTCTTAAAATTGTAACTTTTGAAAAATTTTTCTTAACGTCCACACGTACTATGAACCTTTCAGAGGAAAAGTGGTCTATACAACAACAATCTTCAGTTCCACCTTCTCCACACCATCCACATCCCGCAATGTCCCCACAAATGAACGGTATGCCAACGGAAAACTTTATGCAGCCCTTCCAGTACGACGGTCAAACGGCACAAGGTCAAATGCACCCTCAACAAATGTGAGTAAAAAAAAAAACCGAGCACCCGTTATCTTTTTCATTATTGTTATTTTTTTTTCGCTCGTGCCGCGTACGTTTTACAGTTATTTGATACCACACGAGCATAGCATAAGAACCGCGTTTTATTTTGTACAAAGTATACAAAAACTGATTTTGGGTTGTATGCAAGTTCATGTTTCCTGCCGCCGCGTGTCACCTTACACATAACTTTTACAAGATTTCTTTGAACTTCCTGTCGTTCTCCCACCTTCTTCCTCTTTACTTCCTTTCCAGGAAAAAAAATTTATTTTTATAAAATTTTTTTTTTGGCGGCAAAATATATGTGTGAGAAACCATCAACGTACATACATATATTACACACATATATATAGTCTATAAACCCATGTATCCTTTTTTTCCCAGGCCGGTTTATGATGGTATAAATCAACAAAATATGTTTATACCTCTAAAACAAGAAATTAATGAGGCACAGAACCGATACACTCAGTTCCAAAGGTAGTCATCAGATTAGATTAAAAAAGACTTGGATGGTATCTTGTGTCAAGAACGTGGCATCAATGGGTTCATGCGATATTTATTTAAAGGGTTGGATGTCCTATGCTCTTGTGTGCGCGTAAAAAAAAAAAAAAAATACTGTAAACGTCTGGCCATGAGCAATGCTCGTACATGTGTGTGGCTGAAAAGAGTCCATCGAACCTCTGCTGTAAAATGTGCTCGAGACACCATGTGCACCGCCTCAATTTTCTAACCTTTTTTATCATGTTTCATTGTTAAAAAATTAATTACTTTTTGTTCAAAAAACAAAAAAAAAATAAAATAAAATTCAAAGGTTAACTCTTTTATTCCTCACCTATCATATGATTATAGTTTTGTTTCAATGTCTACACCCGCGACGCCTTCAACTCCGCGACAGAATGGATCCCCAAATAATAACCCATCATCTACTACACCACAATCCGTTGATCGCAAAGTTATCGATAATCGACCTACTTTTACTTCTTCATTTCATGCCGCTCCATTCCAACCAGGAGCAGTAAGGAAACGTAGGGCCGACGCGTTAGGTTTTCCCGTGGATGCTGGCCCTTTCTTTTCCCAGACACAACAGCATTATAATGTATATACCGTGGACAGGACGAATAGGTGGGTTTTCGTGTAACATTTTCGTTGTACCTGTTTCCATGAATTAAAACAAAGGTTATTCGATAAGCTTCTTTTATTAACCTTCTGCATCTCCCATGTGAATATTACATAATGTTACACAATAGCCTTAAACTTCGAATTAATTCAAAGGTTGATCGTGGCTTTTTCTTGGCCGATAATGATTGGACATGCTACCGAAGAAATTATTTCCAAATCAGCAGTTCGTTTAATATCCAAGGAACAACTCACCCTGTAAATGAAACGGAAGTAACGTGTTTACTCGAGGCCGATGGTCAATTCCATCCCATCTCCCAATTCTTATTAGGAATTACAGCAAGAGTTTCTAATAGCGATAAGAAAATTGAATTAGTACAACATACGCCGAAACGTGATAAAGGACCTCAAATGGTTCCTGTACCAAAAGCGATTCGTCCCGGTGGTAACTTAAATCTAAGTTCCGTAGGATCCAATTCTAACATCGTCACATTTGAACGTATCCAATTCAAAACTGCGACCGCAAATAATGGAAAACGTCGTGCCGCTCAACAATATTACGTGGTAATGGTAGACCTTTATGCCCAAGTCGAAGGGTATGAATCACATTTCAGAGTTGCCACATCAACCTCGGCCCCCTTGGTGGTACGAGGAAGGAGTCCTGGTCATTATGCGGATAATCATGATCGTTACAACCCGATGACAATGAATCCAGCATTCCCAAATGATCGTCATATGGGATTTGCTCACCCGTCAAACCCTAATGGAGGTCCAGTGATGGCGCAAGAATTCAATGGGGGTCCCTTCCCTGGTTACGGACAATACCCACCCTTCACAGGTTTTCCACCGGTAACAGCGGGACCAATGAGAAATGAAGCATTATTAATGATGGCAGGCGCCCCAAATGGACCGACACAATCGTTTCACCCCCAACATCCTCATCCGTATATGGTACCGAGTATCTCAGAAACAGGTAATACATCAGATCTTTTGAACGTGTCTTTTTTAATCCGAGGAGGTTGTATCTCATGATCAAAATATTTCAATTCTAGGACAACATACTCAGATCGATATGCACAACATGGAAGGTGAATATTCATTCCTGTTCTTCTCCTCCCTTTAATTAAAGCTTTAATGATGTTAACTTTTTCATAAACTCTTTTGTTATGAAATAATTCTTATTGTAGTTACAACGTCTAATGCCCACAATTCCGCGTTCACGAGTTTTGAATCACGTCAAATCCCAACGACAGGAGCCAATAACACTTCAGCACCTGGGAGTAAGCCCTTTATGAAGATTGAAATTCCACAATCATCTGAGCTTCCGGATCATCCGCTCACATCGCCCGCTTATCACACACAAGGGTATGTGGAAGGGTTCATGTATCATAACGGACACCCTGCCAATAACGCATCTGTACACCATGGCGGATATCATTCTGATAGTGAACAACATCATAGTAATGGATTAACTCATGCAAACGGACGAGGTACAAGAGTTGATGGTTCCGTGCAAGATTCTAATAATCATCATTCCGGTAGTCCACAAATGAATGGGGACAAGATGAATGGCTCAACCGTAGACCCAAAATCTCCAACAACAAATGCTGGAAGTAATACTACAACGCCTACTACCGAATTGGGAAAAAGCCTTGGCCAGTTGAACATGAATAATTATCGAATTGAAAAATTGGATGAGTCTGATAAGCTGTAAATTTTTTTTTTTCTTTTTTTTTTCAAAAAATTGTATTTTGTAAAATATACAAAAAAAAAAAAAAAAAAAAAAATCGAAATAATAATAATCTCATGGGACGATTGAGAAAGAATTGATCACTTTGAAGTCATCATTAATTTATTTATGATAAATTTTTTTCTTTTGCATAAGAAATTTACGTGGGTTCCGAATTTCATTTTTTTTTTCTCTTTTATAAGGGATAATAATATTCCTTACTTTTTTGTATTTAATAATTTTTGGGCCTATTGGATTTTTTTTTTAAAAAAAAAAAAAAAAATTTCAAGACATGGCTTTTATAAATCGTGTTTATATTTGGGTTAGAATCTTTTTTTTTTTTCATTATTTTTTTTAAAAAAAAAGGTTTTTGGGTAAATATGAGTGTTCAATTAGAGAATAGAAAAAATCACAAAAAAAATTATTACAGGTTTTTTATATTTATTATTATATTTGTACAACTTTTTTATATATATATATAATTTTTTATATCTTAATATTTTTAGTTTGAATTACTTTTTTTTTTTCAATTATTTACTTTATTTTATATACTTATTTTTTTATTTACTCATCTATTATTACTTATTATATTATATTATACCTTTTCCGAATATTTATATAAATATATCTATATATATTTTTTTTTACTAGTTTATTTATGTAAACCCCTCCCCCCTTTTTTGATTATTTATCATTACTATTTCCGACTTATTTTTGACAACATTATTATTATTATTATTTCATTCAACTCCGTCTCTTTTTTTTTTTTTTTTTTTTTTTAATATTTTATTTCAAAAACTAGGAAAAAAAAATTTCTTTAATCACCTTTTATCACAAAAAAAAAATTTAAATTTGTGCGATATGATTTTTACGCGGTTTTATTACGTGATTTCGTGTAATTTAAATTTCATGATAAAATTTTTTGAGACTAAATCTGAATAAAAATCTTGCAAACAAAAAAAAAACACAAATTTTAATTAAATGGCGTATCCAATCGATAAATGTAACCTCAAACCGCAAACTTTAATCAAAGTTTCATGACACAATCAATTAGAAAACTTTATTCATTGTAGAATTTTGATCTTAATGAATTGATTAAAGTTACCAAGAAATGGATAATCATAATACATTTGACATCGTGCACTGTTTTACAAGAAATATTACGCAACAATTTAAGTTAAAACGTGTAATTCTTCTGTTGTTACCTGTTACTAATTCAGCTGTTGCAAAAGGTGACATTACTGGGTTACATGAAATAAAAAAACAACCAACTTTGGTCATGGCAATTTAAACATTGTGGAGATCTTTGATCTGTTGGTTTGCTTGTATTTATTGGCTTTTAATATATAATCGAAAAAAAAACTAAAAAGAAAGAGAAAAACAAAACAAAACAAACAAGTTTTAGATGCGAAAATTTTCCGTCCTAAAAATACTTGAATTTTCGAATAAACAATGTAATATACATAAACGATATATAATCACACAATCGATCCACCGATCTATTTATAGAAGTTCATAAATTTCGACAGGAATTTTCCCCCCCCCCCCCCCCCCAAAAAAAGTTACTTAATGCTTGTATAAATTTGTAATCACTGCGGGAACTTAAATGATAGGATTCACCGATTCCCGCGTCAGTAAAATCTTGGTAAAACGTCAAAAAAAAAAAAAAAATCGGTATAATGATCTTGACGGATTTATATAACAAAACATTCAACGATAAAATTTTTTTTACCCTCCTTACTTTTTTATAAAAAAATCTCCATTGTCAAAAATAAAAAATCGGTTCACGATTTTTTTTTTTTTTGTTTGTTTTAACTTTTGAGTTGATAATGGTTTTCATCAAAAATATTCTGATCGATATTTGGATCTCATGATACGCCTTTACAATGCCTCTTCCTTTTAGATTGTTTCATCATGTAGTATGTAATGATTCGATGATGCGTTATTAGTAAAAATTCATCTTGATAAAAATGGGACCAAAATTCGGGTATATTGACAGGTTTATGTGTTCATCAGTATCCTATTTTATTTTTTTCTTTGTTTAAAAAAAAATTCCATTGTCAAAATATAAGAATCCCGATTTTTGATTATGTCAGTTTATTTAAATCATTAATTATTAATGAATTACATGATAAATTTTTTTTCGGTTCCTTTTTTTTAGATTGGATAAATATTTTCGGATCTTACCTTTGATGAAAAAAAAAAAATTTACAATGACACACTATTATAAATTCGATTATGTGGGGTAATGAACCAAGGCAAATGATACCAGGAAAAATGAAACGAAGATATCACATCATCATGATCGATCAACCGTTTTTTGTTTAAAATTAGTCGGTTTAGATTGATATGAAGTCAATTTTTTGTTGCTACTGAAGAGGCGATTTATTCCCTCTTCTTTTTTTTTTGATCATAAATGCCTAGGGATGTTAAGCGGTCCTAAAAGCCTCAAAGAATTATTTTTTACAAATTTATTATTAAACTTGTCTATTTAATGAGCTACTTGATGAAAATAAATAATAAACCCTCTGGGAATCCCAGAATTTCTTAAAAGTTAAAAATTTTAGAATTTATGATCGGGTCCCTAGGACGGGGACGATGATTTTCTGTATTTACAGGAAATGGTTATAAATATGATGATAATTATCAAAATTTTGGCCTGATTTAGAATTTGCAATCATCGTAATGCTGGTAATGTTGGCTGATCTTGCATAATTCTGGCCAAATCACAGAATTTCACAGAATTAACTTTTATCACACGTAGAATTCATTCTTAATCACTACAGGAATCGTCCCTGCCCTAAGACCGATTCTATCTTAGCAGTCCTATCAAGGATCAGTTATGTACCACTTAACATTCCATTATAAAATCATATGTTTTTTGAAAATGAAAATCATAATACTTATACAATCTTTTGTTATTTTATTAAAATCATTAGATAAATAATAATATTATCAATTTTATTTAATTTATTAATACTCTTCATTATATAGGACTTTTTCAATAAAAAGAGAAAAGAAAAAAACTGTCAGAAAAAAATATAAAATAAATTAATATTAAATCTGAACATATTTTAATTTAAAAATCATATTTAAAATATAAAAGTAAATTTAGCTATTATATATATAAATAACAAAATCTATAAACTTCTTTATCAAAAAAAAAAGAAAATTAGTATTTATTATATATATATTTAGAAAATGTTTCTTATTTAATCAAAGAATGTATTTATTTTTTAATATAATATTAAATGAAGATAATCTTTAGATATATAAAATATTTAAATTATTGTAAAGTTAAGAAATCTCTGAATGACATATTACATAATCATTTTCAACAAAGTAAATAATATAGTAAGAATTATAGCATTAAGATATAAACAAATAATATATATAATATCACATAATTTAGGTTTATCAAATAATAAAATTATGTAATTCAGATCATTATATATTAAATCATATATTTAAATTTATCTGATTATCATAATTGTTAATTAATTTGAAAATATCTTTTTTAATGTCTTTAAAAAAACAAACTATATTAGTTCACATTAGGTACAATAAATATAAAGAAATTTTTCACATTGACAATAATATTCTTTTCTACAACAATTACAATATTTTTGTAAAATAAAAGTATAAATTTATTATAGATAACTATTGCAAGAGTTAGAAATATATATTTAATATAAGAAATTATAAAGAAAAACAAATTATAGCAGCTTACTTTCTTTTATTTATACAATTGCTAAATCAAAAAATAACTTATTAAAGACCTTATATAAGTATTTGTAATAGTAACCATTCTTTTTAAAAAGGTTAATTTTTTGCTTCCATTTTTTAAAAAATACATTAAAAATAAAAGTTCTATTCTTAAAGCAAACTTATCACAAATAAATAAAACTCTCACTTTCTTATATATTCAAAGTAACAAAAAATCTATTATTCTTTATTTTTGCTTAACATACTATACCTATATATAATATAGTTTAATTATATAATTTACTTATACATTAGTAAAGCTATTTATCAAATATTTTAATAAATTTTTATTAATAAAACTTTTCTCTTGTGAAAGGTCTCATTTATAATAAAAATTTATTATTATTCATTATTTGAATATATTATGAATAATAAGATTATAAGGTTATAAAATACACTAATTTTTTATATTTAGGTATAAGCATTATGCTGAGTTTTAATATTTCTTTTTTTTTAAAAATAGGAGTATAGATATGATATTATTTTCATAATTATTTTAGGCCTGTATTCTCTCTTCTAATTATATTAGCATTAATAGTAATTCTTTTAGAATTCTAATTATAGAATTGACTGTAAAATGTATAAAAGAAGATGTAAATTTATCTTTAATTTTACTACCAATAAATTATACTAATAAATTATAAAAAATTATATAAACTATCTGTGATCTAATATACTGAAACATAATTTTTTTCATTTTGTATTGAAATTATTTTTATACTTGCCTTGTAAAATAATACCATTCTTTTTAACATATGTTTTTTAATTTATATTATTAGAAATAAATTTTCTAATGACTTTCCTATACGTGAAAATAAAATTGCCAATGAATTTTTTGCATGTATATCTAAATTAATAGTAAACTTATTGTAGAAATCAAAAAAAATAAGGTATATAATAAAAGTATTACTATGAAAATTAAAAGAATCCTTACTGATATTTATGAAAAACTTATCATAAAAGTTAACATTAAAATCATTAATGAACTTTCACATGTCTTTCTAAAGTTAATTCTTCTTTCATTGTGAAACTTAGCAAAATTAATTCAAAACTTAATAATTTATCAGAAAAATCGTTAAAATCAATTCATGTGAAATTAAATATATCTCTAAAATATTATTAACATATAATTCTCATAAACTACGACTGTTAGATGGAGTGTTCAAGCAGTTTGTTCTTTTTAATTAAGCAGTAATCTTTTAACAGTTTACAAGTTTTAT